GCACCAAGGTTGTATTCTTCCACCATATTATTTTCAATAGCATCATATGCATGAGATAGCTGGACAACGAATAAGGAAGAGCAGAGAAGAATCTGACTTATAGTATTAGCAAAGAATATTAAAAATATAATGGACTACCAGAAGTGTGAACAAATCTGTTTTGGAAAAAGTACAACCAGATTGTTCCTTAAAAGCATGTTGTCAGGAAGGACTAGTCTCTGGAGAAGGATATCATGCTTAGTAAAAAGAAGGGTCAACAAAGAGAGGAAGACCTTCAACCATGTGGATTGATACAGTGACAACAACAATGGAATCAAGCATAACAATTGTGAAGATGGCACAGGACCTGGCAGTGTTTAATTTGTAGTAACTGACTTAATTGCTTAACAACAACAAAAGCTCTGGTCAGATTGATCTTCTTCCTACCCAACAAGCACATTTTGGAGCTAACCCTGCTGCCTTTCCCCTACATTTTGTGTTACTAGCTCCTGGTATAACGCTATAGGATAAGCACTGGACCACAAGGTCAATTAGAACCATAAGGTTGGAAGTTCAAATATACCAGTTGCTCCTTGAAAACCCTATATAGGGTTGTTATGAATAGTAATCAACTTGAAGGAACTTAACAACAACGGCTCCTTTATATCATGTGGGTCTTTTCTCAACTGTTTCATTCTGGGAGACCTCACCCAATAAAATAGCCTGGCATTGCATTCCCTGCCCCTCCCGATCTTATTCTCAACTATTCTGTTTTATTATTTTTCTTGTAATCATATACACTAGTCTGGAATCTACCTATCTAATGCTTTGTTTATATGTTTGACTGCCTTCTCTTCTAAAGATAAACTGTATAAAGATTTATTCAAGATTTAAAATAAATAAATAAAATGTATATCAGAGAAAACAAACAAACAAACAAAAATGGCTGAGAGAAACAGTGACACCAGAGATGGAGGCAGAGACGATGACATGGAGAGATGGAGCGGCTGGGGACTCTAGACCCAGAGAGAGTGGGGGGCTGTGTGCTGACAACCGGGGGGCAGGTTTGCAGGGTATAACCTTTGGTTGGTTGATGATGCATGGAGGGGATTGTAACTATGGCTATGAAATGATATATGATAGGATAAATGTAAAGCTAATATTCTCCCATGTAAACTATCACATAGTTCACAATACACCATTGAAAAAACAAAACAAAACAAAAATGGCAGTGCAAAATTGCCAGAGCCGGTCCTGAACTGTTTATCACTAGGAAAAAGGCCTGAAGGGGGATTGTGGAGTGGGACAGGCAGACTAAAAAGGAAATAGGCTACAAAGTAAATCCTGAGTTACGTCACAATATAACATCTTGAAATTTCTCAGGAAGAAGATGAAGAGGGAAACCCGTCTCCTGATCACATCTACCTGAAGGCAATCAGAAAGCATAAAAAAAATACCAAAATACACACCCATCTAAGTATTAAGGCCAAAGCTAACTCCTGAATATGCCCAAAAAAACAGAAAGAGATGACCATATCAGCACATGTCCAGAAACAAGATAAAGTGACTGAGACAAATGAGCTGGAAGTAGACCTGCACTCCATACTAGAAGATGGGCAGGCTTTGGAAATTCCTGAGAGGGAATTAAGAAAAATGTTTATAAAATGTATCCAAACACTATACAATGAAGTGGAGAAAAACAAGGAAGAAGTCAGGAAAGTGCTACAGGAACAATCAAATAAGATAGATACAGCACTGGAAACAATTGAAAACCTACAAAAAGAGGTCCAAGTGATTAATAATAGAATATCAAAAATGGACAATACACTGAAAGGGCAAAGGAGTATATTTGAAGAGATAGAAGCCAGAACTAATGAGCTAGAAGATAAATCTTTCAACACTACTAAGAAAGAAGAGGAAGCACAAAAAAGGATAAAATAATCTGGAAAAGGTCTAAGATTCATGTTGGACAACATGAAGAAGAACAACTTAAGAATTATCGGCATTCCAGAACAGGAACAATCACACAAGTCCACAGAGGAGATAGTTGAAGAGCTGCTGGAAGAAAATTTCCCTAACACCTGAAAAGTGAAAAGATAAGCGCTGAAGAAGCTCAGTGAACCCCAGGAAGGATAGACCCTAAAAGAAAATCACCAAGACATATAATAATCAAGCTCTCCAAAGTGAAAGGACAGAATCCTAAAAGCAGCTAGGGAAAACAGAAGTGTAGCATACAAAGGCAAGCAAATCTCTCAAAGCTGGGATCTCTCAAAGAAACCATGCAAGCAAGAAAGCAATGGGGATACATCTATAAACCCTGAAAGAAAAAAACTGCCAACCTAGAATCCTCTACCCAGCAAAGCTGTCAATCAAATACGATGGTGTAATCAAAACATTCCAGGACAAACAGAAGCTAAGGGATTTTGCCAAAACCAATCCTGCTATGAAAAACATCCCAAAGGAAGTTCTGTGGACTGAGACCCAATAAGAACAGACAACAACCAGAGAATTACGAACATGGCAGCATCACCCTGAACTCGTTTGACAAATGGAAGACTCAAGAACAGAATAAAATGATAAGACCCTAGGATCTGGGTGGTCAGTCTATGATAAAAACAATTACAATGTGAAAGAAGGTAAACACAGAGGCACAGAGATCCAGGTGGTGAGAAGGTCAGGTAGATTATGGGATAAAATAGACTGTCTTAAATGGAGGGAAGAGTTAATGGAATATAAGGTAACCACAACAGTGGGGTTGGGGTGGGGGGCTTAGTTCAGGTGTTGGGGAGGGCAATACAAGTAGGGGGAGGAGGCAGAAAAACAAGACAGGGGAACATTGAGAGAGGTTTACATGGCCTAAGTGGGACAGAGGTTAATAGTGATGCATGCTCAAACTTGGAACAATAGAGCTCTGTGATACAGGGATCTAGGCATAGTTTGAAGAGGGGAAATAATACTAAAATGCTTGACAATCTCATGAATTTTGGTTTCCCTTGCCTACTATTGTAAAATAGACACTTGAGTGGGATAGAAAGGAATGTTGGGAAACATGATTACAGAAAACTTGTAAACCCATCTTCAGCCTATAACTGATTGGAATACCTAAAAGGGGTTCTAGAATGTGTCCAGTAAAATAGGCCTCTTGCAAAGCCTTTGCAGAGTATAGGACCTTAGGTGGAATCCTGAGTCCCATCCAGAACCTTATGAGGTGGGATATTCCCACCAGAAAGGACAAGCAGACTAGCCTAGAACAGCTAGAGCAACAAAAAATACATTTTCAAAGAAAGATCATCAGGAAAAACCCAAAACAAAAAAAATGTTAGCATGACTGGCTACTACAAGAATAAGCAAGCTGTTCGCCAAAAGCCATCAAGGCAAGCAATCAAGTTCCTTCAGGACAAACTTCCCTCTAAGACAGAAACTCAAAAGGGAACATACAAACAAGCATGTAAACTTGCTGGTGACCACACTGGTCTACTGGTGAGTGAAAGAGTGGGAAAGGCAGCAATGAAGAAACGGGCTGAGTTCAACCACAGTCCATTGACTCCTGTTGACCTGGAGATGAGAGAAAGAAGAAGCAGGGCTGGTTGGTCCAAAGTGTGGTGAGACCTGGGGACACTTGAGCCCATGGACAAGGACATAGCCACAGAGGGCTACAACTGAGAGTGAAGCATCTAGCTGACATGAAGTGAGAGGAGACACACAAGAATACCCAAACTTACAGACAGTACCCATTTGACCTAGCCTTGATGGCTTGACAATCAGAACTTGACTAGAAGAAGATTATTTAAAAAAAAAATTTTTTTTTGATAAAGAAAACAAGGCTAAATTGCTACAATTTTATGAACCTGACCTATACTCATGGAGGTAGTAACGCTAAATACCAACAGAGAGGGAAGGAGTCTTCACAATAAGTATCAATGCTATGCCCTCTGTACATAGGGTAGATAGGGACAGGCAACTTAGACATTGGCTACCTAAAATGAGGGGGTGATAAAAGCACAAAGTGACTGGCTTACAAGGTTTCAAAGGGCATTTAGTTTAAGAGTGTTTGGGGCGGGGGGTGGTGGAGAGAAAGAGTCCCCACAGAATCGTTTTCATATTGTCTAGATGGAACTGGTGAAAAGAAATGGGGATAAGATTCGTATGATTCAATAGTGAATAATTGTTATCATGACTAATTGCGATCGTCACATTTGTAAAGGTAGAAGTTTTGTAACAAAAACAGGGGAGTGGTTAATTTACAGTCCAGAAACAGAGGACTCTAGGACCATCAAGGGAGAAAAGCACAAGCAGAATGTGGGACCTTATCCAGAGAAGCAGCGATGCCAGAGACAGAGGCAGAGATGGGGTCATGGAGATGGGGAGCGGCTGAGGATTTCAGATTCATGGGAGGAGAGGTACTAAGAGCTGGTGGCCAGGAAGCAGACTTACAGAATGTGCCCTTTGGAGATGTAAATTATTATATATGCCTGAGCATTGTTTTGGTTTTTTAAAAAAAAGCTAAAGTGAATAGAGAGAAATACTGTTAACTGATGGTACATGGAGGGGATTATAATCATTGTAATGAAATAAAGTGTATGATTTGTTGAATATAAAAGTGATGATTCTGCCCTGTAAACTTTCATTTAGTCCACAATAAAAACCTTAAAAAGAAAAAAAAAGAAAGAAAGAACTGATATTTACAATGCAATCTACTATTGAATAAAAACATTCTAAAATGAATCATTATGAGGAACCTGACTACCATCAGGAAAGAAGAGCTAGCAGCAAAGTGTGTTCTTTGGACCCAGGGACCCTGCACTGAGAACCTCCTAGACCCAGGGAAAGATTAATGCCAACACACACTGAAATCTCCAAGGACACCAGGTCCACAGATGTAGAAAGGAAACAATCAACTTCTTTCAGAGCTGAGGGAGAGAAAGAGAGAGCTACCACTCTGGATTCAGACTGGTATCCTCCTAAACTGTGAGAATACATTGCTGGTTTGTTAAAGATAAAAATAAAATATAATGAATGAATCATTACAAGAATCATCTCGGTTTATTCGTATTTTACAGAATAATGATTTTAATTGGATACATTTGGGCACAGTAGATATCTGACATGAAAAGTAGTTGTATCAGAATGAACATCAGAAAAATATCAACTCATTTTACATAATAACTAGAAAATATTTCTCTGTCTGATCACTGAAGTGTTACAAATCCTGAGAATGTTATCCACTGAACAAACTAGGTACTACCCTATAATTAAATCTTGCTTAGAAATAATCCTTTAAAAAAAAATCTTCTGAGGTACAAATCACCTAGGTATTAAACATGAGTCTTTTATATTTTATAAAGAATTTAAACAAACAAATCAAATAATTACAGTTCAATGGCTGTTATTAATCAGGTTCAAGGACGCACTGTTCCACAATTTCACGCAAGTTGGGGTTCTCCATTGCAGCTGCCACTCGCTCTTTGTCGTTAATCTGCTTGTTGACTGCAAAACACACAACAAAAGTTAGCAAAACTAGAGAGGGGCACATGGTATGTTTATGAGCCTGGTAAAACTACCCTGCTATTTAGCACTTTGAGAACTGAAATGAAGCTGTTGTTGGCTAATAACTCATATGAAATTTCCAAGGCCTAGAAGGCAGACTTAAAGAGAAATCAAATCTCCTATGATCCTACAATCTGCCACAACTATCTTCCTTTCCACTCTCTGTCTATATATGTACATACTCACATAACTATATTCACGAAAAATATAATTTTTTAAATTTATGTATTTCCCCTTACACACATTTTCAAAACTACAGGATTATTTAACACCATAAAAAGTACAAGTGTTACCCTACTGAAAAGCGACTGTGTAGTAGAAGAAATAAAACATGAACTCAGAAAGCTCCTAGAAACAAATGAGAATGAAAACACAACATACCAAAATCTCCAGGAAACAGCAAAAGCGGTGCTGAGAGGACAATTTATTGCAATAAATGCACACATCCAAAAAGAAGAAAGAACCAAAATTAACACATTAGCACAGCATCTACAACAATTAGAAACAGACCAACAGAGAGAACCTACAGCCACCAAAAGAAAAGAAATAATAAAGATTAGAGCAGAAACAAATGAGAT